CAAGATACCTAAACCCAGTGACATAATTTGGTCATGTTTGTGGAGGAGGTTGACACGAATGTGCCTTTTACAGTTTTACTTATTAACCCCTCAACAAAAATTGTTGTATGTATCATTTAAGTATAAATATTTTATGAAGTATTAAGCAGGTCATTACAATAAAACCATTGAACCATTGTGAATTGTGATTTGAATAATATAACTTATAACTTATAAGTGCATGTATAAATGTATGTACAGGCATGGAAACAAATAATTACATAACACTTAAATTTTCACATACAATTGATATTTGATGTAGATTATAGAGATGTTACGACCAGTGGCGTATACATAACTTTTGTATGGGGGGGGATCAGTTGCAAACAAATTATTATGGAACGAAAATACCTAAACCTAGGTATGTGCTCATTTAAATACCTAATAAATGATAAAACATATATATATTCAATACATTTTATTTTAAATTCTACAAGTAATTATAGAACAAAATTTAATTTTCTTTTTTTTTAGTCAATAATATTTATTATTTAAGCTATTTTTAGCTTTCAATGAACAAATTACTGATAGCTATTAGCTCGTATGTTGTAGGTATATCCATGTTAGTTGATAATATACAAAATCGATAATGTTTTGGTATAAATGCGTAAAAACGATCGTGCAATAACCTTATATTATACCATAATAATATTTCTTTTTCTTATGTATAGGAAAATGTATTATAATACGCACGGACATGCGGGCGTCGTCTCCGCCGCGTTGATATCGGTGACGGTGGCGACGGCCCGTGGCTGGTCTGCCACATATTATTATTCTTATAATAATTTATTATACTTGTATATATAATATACATATTATCAAATATCACATAATACGATTATATGAATATGAAATAAATATAGGTATGATTACTGATTAATATTAAGTAAATTATTTTTAATTAATTGTTGAATATTGTGTTAAAATAAAAATTTACAAAAAATCCTTGCCATTTTTTTTCCTTGTAATTTCCTTACATTAATTCATTAAGAACACTATTTTAAAAAATTTAAAAAAAGGCCTATGGGGGGGATCTGACCCCCACATCCCCCCTTGTATACGCCCCTGGTTACGACTATGCTGATATGCGTTGTCGCCCCTCGATAAAATAATATTCGACCTCTCAGTGGTTTATTTTCATACCACAATGGCACAATACAATATAAACTATATTATAATAGGTGTATATTTTGTGCAATACTGCAATAGTGTTAGGTAAAATTAGTTACGTACACCTAGCATGGGGATCCGTTTTATTTATTTTTTGTTAATTCTATACAATTTACAATATCGGCAAAGGCACATAGCAGTGTTAAATAAATACATAAATGTAGTGCGCCATTGTTTAGAAAAGAAGTCATGGGAGGATACGTGTATACGACACCAAAATCCGCCCACCGTAATTACACCACTGGGGCTAATGCCTAATGGGTGATCCATTGTAATTTTGTAATTTGCAAAGTTTATAACCGAATCGTCCAAACCACTCAGGGGTTCGATCACCAAATACAATTAATATTTATCGGGTAAAAAGTGAAAATGTCTCTCTCAAAGTAATTATTCCATGTACAGAAATGCAGCATAACTGCAGATTCTGCACAATATGTACACCCAACACCGTCCTGCCGATATTTTACACAACTGGGTACCTATTTTAAAAAATGCGTATTTTCAATCTGTTATTTTATTTTTCATACAATAAGACATAAGTTAATTTCATTTTCATAAACTATTTTTTAACTGTATGGTTCATTTTACTTCGTAAAATATATTCTACTTACAAGTAATTTACATAAATATTGGGCATTGGTAACCTCGGATTTACTGGTAATTTAAAACCAACATTCCATTGGGGGGGACTTGAATACCAACCACACACACAAGCTCACAAATTCTGATTTAGTGATTCTTTAGTCTAGGTCTAGTCTAGGTCTAGTCTATTATACCTAAAAATCCGACGAAAATTTTATTCGTTGGCCCTTGGTCGGGAATACATAATACTCGACACTCGATCGTCCGCTGCCAATACACCTAAGTGTCCGTATTGTGTTTTCAGATTTCCTATTTCCGAAGCACGGCCGACGACGGGACGTGTGTCACGAGTGTAAAAATAAACGCGGACTCGGCCGGCGATAAGCGCAAGTAACCATTGTAAATTTGTAACCTCGTTGACTACTCGGCTCGTCGATCGGATGATATTTTTTTTCGATTAACCAGACGGTGTGAAAATTAAAAAAAACGTTAAACGACGCCCGATCGCGACGATACTATCAAGACGTATAATAATTGTCAATTTATTATTGTCATGACGTGTGCACGAGCAACGTGGTAGGTGCGCCGCCCAAGTGCCGACGACGGATATTATAACAATAATATAACAGTATAAAACTATAAATAATAATAATATGATTTATCATACATTCATACATCATATTGAATTACGCGATGCCTTGACTTTTACTATGAATATTGTAGTACTCTATACGGTTTTATCGATGGATTTAATTACGCATTTACGCAGTCGTCTGGACTGACGAGCGATGGATTTTTTTTAATTTTCGTTATCAGTAAATTTGATTTTTGTCAGTGGGAATTAATATAACATTTTAGTATAGTAATTATCTTTCGAAGAACGATGAACACATAATATTAATATGTATATTTATTATCGAAGACCCGAAAGCCGAAACCATAATTTTATTATAATACACAATAACGTAGATAAGTGCGTGCGTGTGTGCGCGCGTGTTTTGTGTTTGTACTGTGAACCTATTCAACAGAGTACAGGGCGGCTACAGAACACAAACGGCGCAATAACAATAACAATAATAATAATAAATAATAATAATAAAAATAATAATAATAATAATAATAATAATAACAACAACAGACGAGCGTTTTTATAGATAGGTATGGGTCGGACGGACGATCAGGTAAATGAGAACGCATCAAACGCAGGGAGGGAGGGAGGGAGGAGGGAAACGACCGATCAACATAAATAGTCACATATAATAAGTCGTCTGAAAACGGATAGAAGAACACAAACAACAGAGCTGCGGTGGCGTTGACCGAGTGTCGTACCTATATAGTATAGTCGTACGACGTCACCCGGCGGCCGGTCACCGTCGCCGAACGTGGTGGCCTACATATCAGGCTGCTGTACAATTATTATTACCACAACAGTCTGATGTACAACTGAATTACTGCCTTACAGTGGTGTGGACTGATTTCCAACTTCTTTGGCTACAAACACTTACAACGTTTTTGGCGTGTTTACACGGCGTTGATAAAAACCTCGACGTCCGCCGGGCGGCGATGATCTCAGCTGTTTTTTGTTTTGTGCCCAAACCTCAAAACACGCATGCGCCAACGTACACACACAGCCTGTACCGCGTCGTACTCGTACGACGTACATACACACGACGCGTGTGTGTGTGCGGCTAACACAAGCCGGGCTCGCGCAGCGAACGAGTGCGCCTGCGCGTCGCCGTCATTACACACGACTGTTATTATTATTATTATTATTATCAGCACTATACAAATTTATTGTACACAATAATATAGGCTATCCTCTATGATATATATATATATATTTATAAGCGTACTCGTAGTCGTCGGAGATTGATATAGGCAAGTAGACAACCACCAAGCTCCCCGAAATCCATTCGATTCCTACGACTTACGATAGTAACGTGCGGACTCGACGTCTTGTTTCAAATAATAATAATAGTTATAACTTAATACAACGATGTAAATTATTTTTTCGCTATTCCTAGACCTGCGTCAATTCGGATATTCGTCGTCACAGTGACTGTACCAAACACCATCAAACTCGTCGCACACGCGTTTTATTTAAATATATAATATTTGTCAGTACAGTACAAATAATTTAAGAAGATATAGTTTAGATTATTATTTATTATCAAAAACGCAATCAGCCGGCTCGACGATAGTGTGCACCGCCAGCGTAGAGCATACCGCCATAACCCCCAAAATTGGTTTGGTCTTTGGTAAAAAACAGAGATACAACGTCGTCACGTCGACCGCTGAGAATCGGAGTGACGGAGCCGTGGGCGTGCGGGCGCGGGAAAGAATTATATAAAAAACGATAACCAGCGCGCGCGCCGTCGCAGGGTTTCGTCGTCGGCTCGACGCGTGTCCGACGATCGACGACGACACCGTTGCCACCGCCGCCCACATCGTCACCGTCACCGCCACTCGACGTCAACAGCAGCACCGGCCGCCGCCGCAGCAGTTCGATCGTCACGTGGTACACACCCTCCACCCGAGGCCGCCGGTCATCTGCTGGTAAACAAACGGGCACACCGCCGCCGCCTTCCCTCGCGCCCAAGTACACTCACACTATCGCGCCAGCGCGCGCGCGCACACACACACACACCACGCCACACGGAGACACGCACACACACGCATACGTTCGTTCGCACTCGTACTTTGGTTTTTCGTCGTTCGCATCGCTGTCCGTCATCGCCGCCGTTTCGGGGGAAAAAAAAATAACAGCAGCAGCAGCAGCCACTCGCGCCATCTCACTCTCTCTCTCTTCCTCACTCCCCGCCATCTACAACTCGCTCACGATCTCCCGTCCGTCCATCACTCTATCTCCGTCTGTCGCGGTCGGAACGTCTATACACGGCCGTCGAGTGTGCGTGTGCGCGTAACGCGTCGTCGATTCCGCCGCGCCGAGTACGTCTCGTGCACACACACCGGTGCAGGTTATTCGCCTACACTCGCCCGGGCCTGACGACCACAACATTGCCGCAGCATCGACACGAACCACCGTACCGCGATATCGTCTTCGTCGTCGTCGCGCGTGTTATCGTCTCTATCATTCGTCGCGATATTGCCGCCGCTTGCTGAAGTACAGTGGTGTACACATACACACGCGCCCGCCCGCTGTCCGTCCGTCGCATTAGCATCAGCAGACACGGTGCTACGTGTGCACCATGTCCGACACGGATTGGACGCTACACGCGCTCAAGTCCATGCCCGGTAGCCCGACTAATGTGCAATGGGCCCCCGACCAGGACGTGACGGGCGTGATCGCCAAGCTCGAGGGCCGTGAGCTCGAGTACCTGATTCGACAGAAGCGTATCGTTATCGGCCGGAACAGCTCCAAGGGCCAGGTGGACGTTAACATGGGCCACTCAAGCTTCATATCGCGGCGTCACCTGGACGTGCTGTACGAACACCCGAACTTCTATCTGACATGCCACGGCAAGAACGGTGTGTTCGTGGACGGCGTGTTCCAGCGGAAGGGCGCCCCGGCGCTACAGCTGCCCAGGAGGTACGGTACCCGGCGATGGCGGCCCGCAAAGGCCGTCGTCGGCTGTTTTATGCGCCAAGCTAGCCTCGGCCTGTGTCTGTACAATCGTCGCTATGATACCGTCCCGGCATTTGCATTTTTATTCGATAAAATTTCGATCGAAAATAAATTCGCACGCGGAGCCGCCCCTCCCCCCTTCCCCCCGTCAATCGGTTCGATCCGGCCCGGCGGGCCGCTGTGTTTACACACAACGTTTTGTTTCCCAAACGATATGATAAACGAATCGGGAGACACAACGTTGTTACGGGCGATCGATGATAACGTGTTTTTGTTGTTTGGTTATAAATGGCTGCGCGCAAGTGTGTGCGTGTGTAACGGGTTTTCAAGGTCTCCCTGTTGCCAAAGTTCAAAATTGTCGATTATTGCTCACACGCACACGCACACGCATGCGACGCGTATAAAGATATTTTCCCTTATCATCTTCGTTGAGATTCGTTGGACCTACACAACGTTTCGATGTTGGACTTACAAAACGTAGTTACGGTCTGGGCCGGACGGCCTCCCCGATTGTCGTTGTCACTGTATTAACGAAACTATCTGATTTCTAATGATACCTAGGTACTAGGTAGTATACCTACTTTACATCTACTATCCTCACACATGATGTGTCCTGTGACCCCTATTTTCAGCTTATGGTTCCATCAGTTTTTGAATATTAAGTCCCTCGTATATGACCAAGGATGACAATATTATTGTTGCGTTTGTAATTCAATGGAAATTTGAAATATGTTTCAGATTTTATTTCATATTAAACTACTTTGTTGATCAATGCTATTCTCTGTTTAAATATTTTCATTTAAAATACAATAATTTATATAAAAAATACATATTGCACAAGTCCTATAATTTCCCATATGAATATCAAACTCAGACATTTAAATTCAAATAAAATTATACTGACTATACCGAGGACTATACTAAATTCATCATTGTTTGCAATTCCAATATCAAACTATAATATTGGTTACCCATAGGTACCTAATAAATACTTATTTTATGTAATAAAAGTATAATTCACACAGGAATTAATTTAATTTTTGTCAATGGTATACTTTTAAATAGTACTTACCTATAATATAATACCTTCTTTGATTATAAAATATAGTCAAATAAAACTAATTAAGTAGGTAAAATTTTAATATTATATTTGAACCTTTTCATATAATTTATAATAAATTTTTTGTATTTTTTATCATCAAGCAATATTTGAAGTATGTGAACTTAAATAGGTACTTAAATATTTTCATTAAAAATAAAATTAGGATTGTTAATTTTTTTTACATTTTAAAGTCAAATATGTTTTTAAATTGTGCTTTTGCAGTACAAATTATTCATAAACGTAAAATACCAATCGTAGGTCTGATAAAAATATTAGTTTCAAACCAAAGATTATTAAGTAGGTACCTACTATAAATATTAATTTTACGAGGAAATTGCTGGAAGAATGTAATTGGTAGGTATTTATTATTCATGATATTCTGTGCTTTCAAATTATGTCATAATATCATTCCAACTCAGGTTTTTAATATATTTTCAATATTCTTCCAAAAATTAAATACCAATATCTATTTTGAATACAAAACTTAAGTAAAATTTAAAATTAGTTTTTGGTTTTAAAGTTTTTTAGTTTTTGGTTCTTCAATATTTTATTTTGAAACAACTAAATAAGGTACTATTTATCAAAAATAGGTAATTATTGTTGAGTATGTCTTAGAGTAATAGGTAATAATTTAAGTAATCGCCGAGGCAATTGCTTATATTTTCTTATAATTACTTTTTGCAAAAAAAACAAACATTATCAAATAAATTAAAATAATTTATTAACATACCTTATAAAAATTATATTAGGTTATATATTACCTATATATTGTCCTTTACTATTATATTTATAATAGCTATAATTTTTTGTCTTAGAATAATATGTACCTATTTGTTAGAAATGATTGAGATACTAATATATTTTTTTATTTTGTTTTCTGTAGGTGCTTAATGCGATTTCCTAGCACAACAATTCGGCTCGTGTTTTATTCTTTGATAGATGAAATGGCACCACCTCCTGTACTACAACAGAATACATTTATTCAAACTCAAACTAGACCAATTGCAACACCTTCAAGAAGTTATGCAAGTCCATTGAGTATAAATATTCCTCCTCAAGTTATCAAACAAGAATCTTCTACATATTTATCAAAGGAAAATAGATTTATGAGCCCTTTTCCATCTCCTACTGGCACTTTAAGGTGAGCATAAATTAAATTTAAATATTTTTCCTAATGAATAATGTTAAGTACGATAAGTGTACCCAACTTTAATTTAATATATAAATGTGTTCAGAACACTTTGTTATGTAAGATAATATATTACCAATTTTTAAAGATTTTAAAACTGCTGTAATGAATGCTTCAATTAAAACTGCTTGTTCCTACATTTTTTTTTTATTTTCAAATAATTTTATTACTTCAATTATTTTTTTGTAAATAGGTACTTAGTTCATATTTTAATAACAAATAAAAAAAATATGTTAGTACTAGCTGATCCCGTGCACTTTGTTAAACGTTAAATGTATCAACTCTATATGACTCAAACTTTGTTCAATTCGTTATTTAATATTCAGTGTATGATGTTCAAAATTTATTTTAACTTTTCCGTTGCCCAGAATAAAAATTATGATTCGCAGCAGTACCTATATTATCAGGTAGGCAATCTACCTGCGGTAGATCGCAGACCCCGTGATATTTGTTCGTAACTTTATAATTTAACTCTAAAGAATAAAAGTTATACCAAGTATGTTACTGAACTCCTAAACGGTTGGACTAATTGTGAATGCCGAGCCTATCGACCAATATTTCCTCCTCGTCCACAAATACTTGGCATCGTGATTGTTTTATGTACCATGTACGTAACTTATATGTGAGGTATAATATGCTCAATATTTACGTAATTGTGATACATAACACAGAGTACAAAAAAATTAAATGCATTGAATGAATACAATTATTTCACGGCAACCAATAATAGCTTATAATAGTTTTAAAACCCATGGCAACCAATTATAAACAAAAGTTTTCACTGTAAATCTCTAAATCCCCGTTTGAGCACATCCCCTGATTGGACGTAGGGTGATGATTTGTAGCCTATGTCTTATTCTGATGTATAAGCTATATTATTGTAAAGTTTCATTAAAATTCATTCAGTATTTTTTACGTGAAAGAGTAGCAAAGTCACAGACTTTTGCACTTATAATATTAATAGGATGTACCAAAATAATTTAAATGCTATATAAAATCCTAGTCTTTATTATTAAGAGTATTTATGAGCGGTTGTGGGAAGGCTTATTCCCATGCATAAAAGTTGAAGTCTACCACTTAGGTAGGAATCTTCCTACTGAACCTGACAATCATCTGCCGCCCCTAAAAAGTACTCTTAACGTACATTAGATTAACTATAAACACATTTATTTACTAATTTTTATTTGTTTAGTGCTGCTAATTCATGTCCAACTAGTCCTAGAGGAGGACACAATCGACATACGCTTGGACCAGATTTGCAAATGGCAGCATATGCAGCTGCAGTAGCTCATCCTGGTCAAATAGGTGTAATTTCTACTCCTACATCATCTGCTATTTATGTAGAAGAAAAGTAAGATTTTCTTGTAAATTTCCCATTAATATATTTATGTTTTTAATTTATATGTAAATTGTTTGTTTAGTAAACACTTAAACAATATGTCTAGTCAGAATAGCCGAGACGAAGAAACTAGCCCATTAGATGCAACTGTTTTTGATGTTAGCATCGGTAGCGAACCATTTGTCAGTGATTTTTATAGAAATGGTACATCATCAACATCCACGGGACAAAATTATAGTCCTCCTGATACTGTGATCCAGGATAGATCAACACCTATAAATAACAACAATAGTAGTTCTAATGCAAAATCTAAAGATGAGTCAAAACCACCTTATTCATATGCTCAACTCATTGTACAAGCTGTTGCTTCAGCTTCTGATCGTCAGCTAACTTTAAGTGGAATTTATTCCTATATCACCAAAAACTACCCATATTATCGATTTGTGGATAAAGGTTGGCAAAACTCTATTAGACACAACTTGTCATTGAATCGTTATTTTATAAAGGTAAATTTAATTATTTTACTATAAGTTAAGAATTTGTAATCGGAACTTAAAGTGGAACTAAATCTAAATTATGACTGCTTCAAATTCTGTAAAAAATTTTATTATCAGCCTTATTATAAAATGGTATACTAGTCTTATAATCAACTAAATGTTTCATTTTTGAAAAATATATTCAAATTTTAAGAAATGATTTAATAGATAGATTAATTAATATATAAATACATTTTTTTATAAATTTACATCTAATAACTTAGAAAAAAAGTCTTATCAGTTCAAGTTTTAAAAAGAATTTCAAAAAATTGATTTATCCTGGGTAGTTACAAAGCTAAAATTTTCAATTAAGACGGAATAAAAAGAAATTTCTTTAATTCAATTTTTACAAGATAAAAAATAATTAATTATTTAGATTTTTAAGTATTAAACTAATGTTTATTTTAAATTGTTATGAAGGTTCCTCGCTCACAAGAAGAACCAGGAAAAGGAGCTTTTTGGAGAATTGATCCTTCATCTGAACAAAAATTAATTGAGCAAGCTTTTCGGCGTAGACGTATAAGAGGGGTGCCTAGTTTTAGGCTTCATAACTCGTTTGGAATGTCTTCAAGGTAGTTTCATCAAATATGTTAAAAATAAATGAAATATATAAAGTTTATTAAAAACTATTACATTTTTAAGTTGTATTGTTGCTTAATTTAATCTTATTTTAGGAGTGCTCCTCCATCACCAAGTCACATAACTGGCGGTGAATTATCAATCGCAGATTCCTTATCTAGAGAAACTTCACCATCGCCTCCAGTTTCTTCTTCTGACCAACAACAAGATGAAGTTTGTTTGGCAAATTCTATCTCAAACCAAATTAAATCACCAAATAAAATTTCTCATACTAATGGTGTTGGTGTGCTTCACTATGTCTCATCAACAGGTAATAAAGGTTATATAATTAAAAAAGTCTCATAATACTAAAATGAATTTAAATAATATGGTATGTTCTATGTTCGAATTATGGTACTAGCTAATTAATATTTTGGTGTAGGCTTGAATTTGCTTAGTTTTTTTATGGTTTTAATCAATAGCAATATTCTATTTGGAGTATAAAGAATCTAAAACCTAAATTGTGTTATGCATATTATAGGCTTATTATATTTTTGAGCGCCTTATTTATGTACTATGCAGCATTAGAGAACCTTTTTTAACTTCTGTAAAAACTCATAAAATGTGTCTACATAATATCAATATTGTACACTTTCCACATATTACAATTTGTGCTCCTTGAAGCCTATGACAATCTTTATATTACATTGAAAAGTAATTTTGATTTTTGTATCGTATGACTGACCTTGGAAGTTATAATTTCATAAAAAATCAAAATTAAGAATACTAATAAATAAATCTTTTTAATGATTCAGTCTAAAAATTTTTGTTTTGTGCATAATCTGCCTATTTGTTTTGTTTTTTTTTAATGAAAAAAGCGTGTTGTTTTGCAATTAAATTATAAGAGGTTCACCAAATTTTAATAAGAATGAAACTAAATTTTAATTTTTGTTTAGCCAACAATGAAGTTTTAGAAATGCAAAGTCCTCAGCAGTTGACGTTTTTAAAGTCACGACTAGTCTTGCCAGTGACAACTTATAGTAAATCTACAACTAGACATATTACAATAGTTAACAATGGACTTCCAACATCTCAGTCAGGTAATTGTTATTTATTAAATATTTTTTAATTAATTTTTTTTTTTATTTAAAAGGAGAATATTTTGCAGTTCGAATCAAAGCTTGATTTTCAAAATTATTTTTATAGAAGCTAAAATAAGCATTTCAATAACGAACAATATTTGTTTGTTTTCAAACATATTTTTCTACCACTATTTAAAGTAAAATAAAAAAAATTCAGCCTTTGTTCAACCTGAAAAATGATCTCTTCTTAAAAAAACGCAATCCGACTATATTACAGGGCGTGAGAGTTTTTCCTGTGAAGTCATTTTTGTTAATATAATACACCATATTGCCCCCCCCCCCCCTCTTGAATAGGTATTGATCTGTAGAAAAGTATTATAATTGAGGTAGTAACTAAAATATAAAATATAATTTCCAAATTGTTTAGAATTTCGGAAAATTGGATAAACTGGCACCGACTGGCCCTTAAGAGAATGTCAGCGTACTGTATGATTTCTCTCTCAGACCCATGCGCAACAGACAACATTTATTCTCGTAATTTTTATTTTTATATTTTTGAGTAACCATAGATTTCTTAGAATCTTGAATTTACTTATCACCTCTTACAAAAATTATAGAGATTTATATTTTTGATTGGTTGTCATATTATTACTTCTAAAAAATTTAATATGCATTTAAATTTACAAAAATAAAATTTATTTTTAATGAAAAGAAAATATAAAACGTATGTCAAACCCTTAAAATTATTATACATTTATACTAAGATTATAGATCCAAAATCAGATGTTATCATGATCAGTCTATAATCTGTTAATACTACAACCATGGAGACTAGAATAAGGAGACCAAACTCGTACGGCCGCCCACATCAAAAAATGGCCACAGGCTGTGCTTCGTACTCTAGGGTTGCTACTTTAATCCGCATAGTATAGGGATTATTCATGTTTTTTGGAAAATATATGCATTATTTTGAACCATCACCCTCTTTAGATTTTTTAGCTCATAAAATTACGCATTCATATGTGCATATGTGTATATTTCAGAAACATGTTATTCAAGAAACAAATTTAAGTGTAATGCTACATATATCGGTATAAAACAATCGTTCAAGAAAACACTTATATTATGTATGGCTAGCAAATAGTATCGGGCTCAGGCTTGTTGTGAACAAAGATATATTACATAAAATAACTAGATATAGTGTTAATGGATTGTATAATTTGATTATTTACACAAAAATAAAAATAATATTTATGAAATATACACATGCACATGTATAAACGCGTAATGGTACAAGCTATAAAATCTAAAGAGGGTCATGGCTCAAAATAATGCATATATTTTCTAAAAAACGCAAAAGAACAAGAATAATCCCTATACAACGGGGTTTAAAGTAGCAACCCTAGCTAACACAGCGCTGCCTGTGGCCGTTTTCTCTTACGACTCATTTCGGGACATTATCAGAAGCGGCGTTTGGTCTCCTTATTCTAGTCTTCATCATTTTAAATGAAAGCATTTTATCTCGTTGCTCTCAGGCCTGAGAGAGAAAACAAATATTACGCAGACCATACTCTTATATTAAATTAAATCAATTTACTAAAACCAAACTAATATTTCTTAGAAATTTATCATTAACTGTATAATAACACAATTTTTTTTTACAGGAAGCACAACTAAAACTAACTTAAATTTTATTGCCTTTCCTCCACCAATTAAGGAATCTTTATTGCCACAAGCTCCTGTTATTGTGCAAGCTTTAGATCAGACATTTGATGCGTAAGTAACTCTAGACTTAATTGATAAATTTAAATTATTCTTAATGTTATTGTTTCTAATTCTAGTTCTAAGCTGAATCATGCATTAAATATTGATAAAGCAGTTAATCATCATAAACAAGTTGAAAATAATGAACTACATGAGGATATATCTCAAAATAACCCTACTCAAGGCATTGAAATAGAATCTGGAGAATTTGGAGTTCAGGATATTCATGAAGAAATTATTGACGATACTCAAAAGACAATGGGAGAAAATATAGAACAGGTTAGTTATTACATAAAAAAATGTTATATATTTGAATGAAATATTTGATCATTGCAATTAAATTGTTTTTAAATTACTTAATTTCTTATAACCAAAGAATTATTTGTTTTTGTCTAACGATGTCACTAAACTTTTTTTTTTTTAAATATTTTTGTTTTATTTTCTGATGGACATAATTATAAATACCTACCTAAATGTTGAAAATCAATATTCTCCAGGATTCATATTATACGAATGACCACAACTTAATTTTGTATGTTAATTAGTAATTACATAAAAATATTATTTTATTTTATTTCATATTTATTTATAGCAAGTGATTAGTCTAATTTTGTAATTTATTATTAACAAATACATCCCATATCATGTTTACAATAAATTTCTTATCTAATTTTTTTTTTTTATTGTCACTTATCAACAAATAATTTATATTAATACAAAAATTATCTTATTTAAGTATTTTTACAGACATTCAAAGTATAGTTCTTATTAGTTACTTATCAGATGATCTATTTTTGTACATATTTTGTCATTTTTATTGAGCATTTTTAAATTTTATGCAACTAAGGTCGTATTACCACACATATTTATATGTTTTTAATTTTTAGTTCTTTAAAATATTTTCACTAATTATAGTGTCATCCAGGTTCCATTTCCCAGTCAATAGCTAATTAATTTTTTTAATATTATCAATTGGTGTTCCTAATAGATCATGATATAGTTATTTAAAGTAATATACATATAAGACTCTTAAAAGGCTGCACTCTCGGACTCTTAACATTATCATCCTAGTCCTCCCTAGATTTGCATTAGCTTACTGTTACCTTTCCCCAGCATACCAAATTCTCCTTCGTTATCTAGCTGTCTTAGTCCGTAACCCGTAAAAAGTCTTCCATAAGCTGTATTATATAATTTGTTCCCTGAAGATAGCACTTCACCCAAACTTTTCCATTTTTATTCTTGTCCTATTCTTTTAAATTGTGTTTGCCTTTTCTCGTCCACTATTATTGTGATCGTATTATAACAATATTCTCATAATATTTAACATTCAATTAGTATTTTACTGTATTATTGTATCGGGGGCGGACTGGGAGGTAAACGGACCAGTATTCTACAAAATTAAATGGTCCAAACCCCTATTTATTTTCTGAATAAATACCTACTTTATCAGGTAGTTTATCAAATATATAATGTTCCTATTCGTTTGTCTTGTAGTCAGTAGGATCTCAGAAAATAAACTTAATACCTTATTACGATTACAACAGTGATAACACCATATACCCAAAATATTAGTTAAAGATTTCAATTAGAGCAAAATAAAAAATGCGGTAGAATTTAAGAATACCTCACCTTGGTTGTGTAAAGTAGGTTGGGTGTTTTGAATCTTAAAGAAACAAATGATAAATCATTTCTTCCATAAAACAATTCTGAGCAATTTTTTTATGTAATATATTAAACAACCATCTTAATTGTGATAGACATTGTATTTTTCAATTTTATTACATCCTGAAATAAATATGATTTATTTTGGAATGCATTAAATTTTTTATAATATATAAATAGACAAGAGCTAATAGGTAATAATATTATATATTTTATAAGAATCATATCTAAATGTATCTTCCTTTTGATATTTTGATGTTTGTTTACTATTGTTTTGATAGATAATTTCAGTCACACTGTCTTGTATTTAGAAATAAATAAAAATACATTTATTGTCAATTGTTCATATGCACCGGCCCCGTATGCTACAGCATACTAGCACACCTGGCCAGTAGTCCGCCCCTGTATTTTATCTATTTTTTTTTTATATATGAACGTTATAATAAGCCTCTTTTATTTATCATAATATTGTAAACTTTGTTTATTTAGACATCTATGAACTTCAAATCTGAAGAATCTTCTGAAAATGGAAATCAACAAGTTGTTGGTGAAGAAATCGAAGAAGAGGAAGAAGTAGTTGAAGATAACAATTTTGAAGAATCCAAAGAAGAACCGGATACTAATTATTCTGACAATTTTCAAGAACCTCAAGCTAAGCGTGCCAAATTAAATTATTATCAACAAGAAATAAATGGCGTCCCTTAGGATTATATAAAAGGTAATTTATATAATATTAAAAGTTAAAACATGTTATTGTTATGATATTTAAATAGGTCTTATCTTAAGACGATTCTTTTCTGTACATAAATGATGTATAAATATTAAGTGGGCTACAAAATTATTGTTATTGTAATAAATTGTTCTCTTTAATTAATTATGAATTATCTAGCTTAAATCAAACTAGGTATTTCTCTCTGTCAAAATATTTAGTTATTTTATGAATTAAGTAATATATTTTTATTTTTTGCTTGTGCAGAATTATAGGCAGTATATATAATGTTATAAAATACCATACTACATTAATAACAAAGTGTAAATGTAAGAATGTTGTATTTTTGCTAAACATTTTTTATGACTGTTCTAGCTATTATGATATTAGACAAATTATCATTGCAATTATAAAAAAAAAATCCAAGTAAACGAGGTAGTCCAAAATTTTACATGATGACCATCATTATTATTTTATCCTTTGCCTCATTATGTTCCTTGTACATAACCGTAATAACATATCTATTGTAAAAAATTAATTAATTCCAATTGACAGTTTATTTTTGGTTGATAGGGAATCTATTTCTTTTTAAAGTGCAATTACATTTAATCTTTCTATATTTTTTCTTTTGTTATTATTTTTTTGTTGATTATAAATGTTATCAATTTAAAATAAATTGCCATAATTTTTAATCTGTATGTGGACAAAAGCTTTTTTTCGGTTTTTAATTGTTTGAGAATTTTGATGTTATAAAGTTCATTTTTAATAAATATGTGATTGGACATTTTATATTATACAAAGAATATAATATAATTATTTTTATAAAATAAGTTTTTGTCTACTTAATAAAATGTGTTACCATTTGTGTTTAGAAAGATTTAGTTTACATTGGTATTAAAATTATATATAATTAAATTTAAACTACTCAATTTGTTGGGTTTTAACATAAACAAAATTATTATGTTGGATTTTTAAACGTCTTGTACATTTTTCTTGTTTATTTATATATTTTAAATATTTCAAAAGTATTTTTCAATCAGCAAATTATTTTTTCATTTAGTTCTTTACTAAAAAATAATAATAATATGCACTAATGCAAATGTGTATTTATAAATATTGTATTGTTGTCTTGGGTGTCTTTATTCGATGGATGTGCGTGGGACCTGGCCCTACCATATTTATGTGTACCCCGTGTCTAGTTGTATTACCCTAAGCAGTTCCGACAAGCACAAATGTTTCTTTTAATGATTGTAATAAACATGATGTTGTTAGTAGTATTTATATATTATATCATATAATAGATTCAAATTTATTGTATTAAGGAATAAAAATAGTCAATGCAATACTTTTTTAGCACACTTGTAAGTGTAATATAAGATTACTATTTACTTTATTTTGTTGAGACATTAAATTTATAAATTATTTAATTTGTGTTTTTAATTTTTTTTTGAAAACTCTTTCCCTCCATTTTTCCAAATCTCCGAGTGTGTTTCATTTTATTATTTATCCTACCATTGGTGTACGTAAAGTTTAAACGAAGCTTGTCGTGACGTAAATCATGATAATACGTTATCATCGTATTTCACATGGCGTGCGAGTGTGAGAAAATAACAAAACATTAAATTGGGAATCGATCAATTGTAAAAAAAAAAAAAAACGGAACAAAACATTAAAATACGGTGGCGACGTTCCCAAGACCGACGAACGTTCCAGCAGCAGCTGATGAGTGAGTGTGCACTGTGCGTGGTACGTCGCTGGTCGGAAACTCGGTTTCGCGCGCCTTTCTAGTTTCCTGACAACGTATAGCAATAACGGTAAATGCAGTGTGACCAACGGCATTGACGTCTGTCCGCCCGTAGCTGATAAGGGGCCTCCCTAGGAGGGCCAAAGCACCGATCGGCGCGTCTACAACGGCGTGACCCGATGTTCAACAAGTACATAACGCGGCTGCCACGCCAAGGTCGAGAACCGGTCGCTAATTTCAGCGGCCGCAACACGGTAATACCGCACCACCACCCGTCGGCGACCGCGACACGGTAATACCGCGCCGCCGCACGGGGCCGGAGAATTGACGGTCGGATCGTGTGGCGGCACTGTCGCCTCGGTGAAAACCACCATTCGCAATGGCGTGTACGTGGACGGCGAAAGGTAATCCGTAGTTTTTAACTGGCGGCCCGTGTTCACGTCGACGACACTCGAGCAGCGCGCGCGCGTTATGTAGTGTTAGTGTTTTTATTATTTTCATTACCATTATTTTTTTTTTTTTCAATCACAATATTCACAAAATACGTACATATATTATTATGTATCTTATATTTTATCCATTATAGTTTTTAATTTATGTCCCGCGAAACGAATGACGAAAACCAAAAACCAATACGGAATAATATATTATTATTATCGCCGTACATAACAGAATATAATATTATAAAAAAACGTGTTGCTGCTGCTTCGGCCACTGCTGGAAAAGCTGCCGCCCCCGTGACGTCTGGTCGCTGCGGAAAAGACGTCGAATCGGAGCCACCGAAAGCTGACGTCTGAGCGTCGTCGCCGTCACCGTCGCGTGTGAGTATCATCCGTGTGAGCCGCCGCCGCCGCGTCGTCCCCGCTCACGTACAACACAGGGCCTTCTCTCCAAAATGGCTCTGCCCCTACCTTTACGTAGTGGTGGTCCGCACATGTATGTGTGGACGGCGGTGCGTGTGCGTACGCGTTTTCATCCCGACTTGGGTCAACGGTGGTGTGCCGTGCCGTCACCCGCCCGCCCATCCGCCCTCCAAGCGCGCTGCTCGAGGTGTCCCTCTCCTTGGAGCATTTTTATTATTTTTTTCCCGTCCTAGTCGTCGCCGTGTTTTTTTTTCACATTATCGGCATCGAACGCGCCGTCGCGTTCTTTTCCCGCGAGATAACGGTACGCACCACGCACGCCGACGGTTTCGTGCCGTCGTCGATTTTGATCGTGTTCGGGAAACAACCGAAATCATTCGGACGATTGTTTTTATTCACCCCGTGACGGGGGGCGCGAAACGATCGCGGCCGGTGGGCCGTGTGCGATCCGGAGGACGCGCGCGCCTTACGCGATCGCTGCACATTATTAAAATATATATAACGACGACGTCGACTAGAGGACCGCGGCGCGCGCGTCTCGAGAAAGTACCGACGGCCGATTTTTATAAAACATTTCCGTACCGATATAAGTAGGTCTTGCGGCGGTATATTATAGTCACATCCTGGTTCTTTAGAATAATACAATTTTTTTTCTTTCCATTCCGTTCCTCCGCTCATTATACACGCGACTGGATAGTAGTAGAAAGTGAAAGCGTGTACGTACGGTTTGTGCGACCGTCTATACTATTATAATAATAATATATATTTTATATTTTATTATTACATTGCTGGCAAGCGAGTGTGTGTGTGTGTATGTTTGTTTGCTTATAAGAATTGTACGTACGCGTGTGCGTCGTTCTAGCTCTGTTTGTACCTGCGTGAATTACTTTTTCAAACGCATTCCTTGTGCGTTTTTCGGGAAGCGACAAATTCGAAAAAAAATCAGTGGGACGGACGAGTAGGTTTTTAACACCGCCACCGCCGGTCGCTCGTCTTTGCCGTAACATCTCGCGTCAACGGTTTTTGGATTTGTTTTGTTGATCGTAGTGTTCTCGGCGCCGCGTACGAAACGAACAATCATTGGTGTAATGATAATAACGTCGTCCAGTCTAAAACGAAAAGGTACACTTTACAATCATCGATCAGAGTGGTTTTCCGGAAAACTGTGGGTATCGCTTTATCCGACGACCTCACCGCTTCCCCCGTTAAATTTCTTCTTCGAAGATCTGTATACGATTTTCGTTTTTTTCACAGCTTGTGTCTAATTGCCTAATGCAGTAATGCCCTAATATGATATTTTGCGTTTAGTCGCAACGTCATTTTATTTTGTCCGTTATCTACCCACCCGATATCTCGGGTGCTTTTATCTCGTATTTTCAATTGGTTTTTTCATCATTAATCATCAAGCCTATTGGTGTTCTTTCATTCGCAAATTGATTATGTAACTAAACCTCTATGATAGCAACGACGACGACACACAATCGCATTTGTTATTTTCCCGTTTTGTTTTTTTTTTACTCAATACTTGCGATCAGAGCAGCATTGCACAATAACAATATCAATAACACATTATAAAAAAATGTCTTTGTTTTACATTTCTAACGCATAAATATTTTTTCAGTGCCTATTGCAATTTTTTTTTTATCATTATTATTATTTATTTATGACACACCGATCTATTGTTGTTTTTTTTATGTATTAATTTTACCAACACAAGCATTATAAAAAAAATAGATTGGTACAATATTATGAAAAAAAGAATTTTAATCTGAAATTATTTTTTTTGAACAGTAAACAATAATACAAACCATGAATGATATAATTTTAAATATACCCAATTATTTAATAACAATTTAGGGTATACTTAAATTACCTTAGGAGTTAGGGGTAACCTTAAATATATCAGTTAATAATAAACACGTCATTGCTCTTTGGACTTTTAATTAATATTCGTAATACTGAACACTGAACCTATACAATAACTATTATTATTGAATATAAATTCTATAAATATGGGTACTATCTTAATGATAATTATTTACATTTGTTTTTAGGTTAAATATTAATGACTAATATCTTATTTTATTACCATGGTCTGTGTTTTTTGATTTTGGATGTTTCATGTTGTTGGTTGAGCTGTTCAACTTTATATATTGGACGATACTTTATACTCCTTACTTCCTAAATTATACATCAAAACCTCCTTGTAAGACGGAAATCTCCTTATAACAGAAAGTCCGAAAATAACAGTCCTTAATAACCTATTTCCCATATATTTTAGTCTCCCTATAATGGAAACTCCTTTATAATGTACAAATTAGTCGGTGCCAAAGAATTCCATTACAAAGAAGTTTTACTGTATAGTAAAATTAAATAATATGATATGTATTCAATAGGAACAAGGTACTGAGTAACATATAATTCACTAGTGGAAATGTTAATATAAAGTAGCTATGTGAACATTGGAAATTCTATCTAACTAGCATAATATGTGTCAATAATTCACTTGAGATAATTTAATGATATTTTATAACTGAAAACCCCAAAAATATGTCGGTAATAAAATTTACTAAATAGCATACTTACTAAAATAGTACCTACTCATGTAATGCTTTTAATATTAAATAAATTGCAATATTTTTAAAATGTGCCTTATGAACTACTCATAATTTTTTTTAGTTCTACATAAATGAAATGTAAATTACCATATTTTCCAATTTGTCTGTTTACCTTAGAAAGTAATAATACTTGGGGACCAATTATGTTAAAATTAAACTCCATATACCCAGCAATATTTTAGTGTGAATAATATTTTTAATAACTTTATGTACTTAAAAAAAAATCAGAAATATAAAAATATCCATCTTAAAATTGTATGAAAGACTACTTTTATCTATAAAGCCTTCAGTTTAATAATTACAATTTAAATATGTATAGTACCTAATAAATTAAGCAATTAATATCATATTAGAATTCTCTTCAGCAATTTATTAATATTTTTACAGTTAATCTGTTTTAAATAGTGTTTGTCTTATTATCAACTATATAGACAATGACAATATGTACTATTGGTTTTTATATTAAAGATACAACATTTCTATGTTATTAAAATAAATTTTGTGTACCTACCTATAAACAGAGAGTCAATTTCTTAGAAAATCATTGATTAAGGTATATTAAATAGAATTTGAAGCAAAATTATTTTCTTATATGCTTCCTAAATTGCCTCATTACATAATGATTTTATAGGCTTTAAAATTTTTAATTTAGATTTCTAAATGTCTCCCATATGTAAGTATCTAGTTAATAAAATTGTGAGTTATAAATTACTAATATTTAAATCCTAATTAAGTTTAACAATTATATATCAGTTTATGAGTATTTGCATAACCTCTAGGCTCTAAATTAATACTTAAATATATCTTTTAATATAGGTAAACCCCTTAGCACTATAGCAAAATACCTAATATTTTATAACACTATTAAATAACTAATTACAGAACAATATTTAAAAATAGATAAAAATTTTATTTGATTTTATGAACTATTATCAAATTTGAATTAAGCAGACTACCTATTTCTTTTGGATATAGCAATTATATAATTAATGTTAAGAATATAATATTAATACTTTAATATTCAAAAATATAACGGATTTTATTTCATTGATTTATTACGTTTGATAAAAACACTAGCATATGGTGACTTAATTGTTTTTAACTATTCCAACAAAATTAAATTCGTTTTAAACCGGTTATTTTGTTTTTTTTAGTAGTCAAATCTGTCTTATACTGGTAACAGTTAGCTAGACTTTTTTTTTTAAATTTACATTGTCTAATTGTTAAATTCATAGTATGAGAAAAAATTTGATTTAATATAATGCTGGTGTTGGGTAGATACTTGTTTTAGAATTTTTGTCAATCATAGGTATTTTCTTTTGTTTAAATAAGAGGTATATTTTTGGTGATTTTACAAGTTGAAACTTTTAAATAGTATTGATTGCTTATTTATTTTTGTTGCAATAGGTACTATTTGTTTGGAATATTTATTTATTTTGCATTTATTAATGGTTATATTTTTATTTTAGATTGAAGTATGAATACTGGAAGTTATCCTACATTTGTGACCGCTGCGCCGGCAACTTCGTTTAATACCTGTTCGAGTGCAAACATGACTCAAGTGAATACAGGAAACAAATATACAAATGTTCAGCAACAAACTGATACATCAAATACTAATACAGTAGTTAATACTTCTAATACTAGTGGACAAGTTGTTGCACTGTTAAACAGTGATGAAGCTGGTGTAACTTACTTAAGGCCACTAGATTCAAATGGTTTTGCTGTAAATCTAGCTGGAGTTGGGTCATCTAACCAACAAGGACAAGTATGTTAAACATAGTTTTAAATTTAAAATTTTTCTTAATTAATTCATAATATTTTTATTTAGATATTTACTATTCCCATAACTGTTCCTGGTTCTAAGCCTGGAGAACAAAGTCAAACTATACAAATTCAAGTAGTTGGACAAGGCGGTATATCTGGTGATAAACTTTTGCCTGTTTTTGGACCAGTATTACAACTAGCGTATAACCAACAACAAGACAATGGAACCATTCAACTTCAAGTTAGTTATCACATAAAACAATATGAAAGCTTATTTTTTTTTCCGTAAATAATTTAGAGTTAGTTTAGTTGTACAAAATCTAAATACTTGATGATGGATTCATAGATATAAGATAGTATTATTGTTATTGTTATTTTTAGTAAAATCTTTTCTAAAAAAATTTAAAAACATTGACAAAGCTTTAGGTATTTTACATCACCAATTTTTATTAGAATTGGCCCTTGTTTGGGTAGCAATGATTTACAATTAAATTCAAAGTGTCACTCATCTTTAAATCTCTATATTTATTTATATTGTATTAGTTACAGCAAGAAGGTGATGTTTCAAATGACCAAATACATAACAACAACAATGATTCAATGCAGTCGTCGGATTTATTGCAAGACGTTCAAGAGGACCAAGTAATTACTTTTAATTTATCAACCATTTCACTGCTACAGACCTACTAATATGTTCCTTTGTCCATAAAATAAAATTAGTGAATTATCTATTTAGTGATTATACCAAAAAGATTCAATGTTCATTTTGGTATGAATTATACAAATTAAAAGTTATTATGATGTCTAGTGATTATTAATATGACATAATTTCTAATTATAGTATGCACTACTAGGCTCTGTGTTTGGTTATCTTGGTCTTGTAAATTTTACTTCGAGGACATTGGTGCACCAGTTTTTAAATTGTAATAATTTACATGGCTTGTAACTTATATAGCAATTAAAATATCATAAAATGGTAAATGTAGGGACACAGGTTATGTTCTTAACTTAAAGTTTGGTGACAAGTGAATTCACTCTAATATTAAAATTAATATCAACCACACAGGGGGGTTAGTTTTGCTAAACGTACATTTGCTATGCTGTGCGTGGGTCAGAGAGAAAACTAATAGTGCGCTGACATTCTCTTAAAATTCAAGTCAATAAATAATTATGTTTTTAACTTCAACATAATATGATGATGGTTCAATGTAACTAAATTTTTCATAATATAAAAATATTTTAAAAAAAACTGAAATTTATACAGCAGAGCTGGGTATTTTAGGAGAAAAAATCTTAGCATTGAAAAGGTTGTTAATAATAGTAGTTATTCATTTTATATATTTATATAATATATATATTTTTTTATATATTAGGATATGATACAAGATGTTAAACCAGTAATAATCGAACAAAGCGGCACAGATAGTAATGGTATACCATTTCCATTGGCAGTAGTGGTAAATCAAGATATGGTTGTGCGGCGTAATCAGCAAGACAACAAAATAATTGGCGATCAAAAAGATAATCAGGCGGACAAACGATTAAGAATTCAAAATGAACAAGATTCAGGTAAATAATAAAAATACTTAAATGTAATTTATTGAATTAAAAATTAATTTATTTGCAGCAAATCAATATGTTATGACTTACTCATCGAATTCAAATAATTCTGTTTCATTGGCTGATTATATATCTATGAATCATGATAATATACCCCTTGGACATTTTTTAAAATTTTCACCCGATAATAATAAAAGAGATAGTATGGAATCATCTGGTAACCAAGATGATGGCACTAGTGAAATGGTAGTTTACGAAGATACCAATAGTGGGGTAATTATGAATTCATATTATCACCTATATCAATTAATAATTTAACTGTATGTAGTCGCAACATAGAAATTAAACATTTTAATATCAGTATTAATTTAATACATAGTGATTGTTATTTTTTATATATTATAATAAAGCTATAGCTATACTCATTTGTTCATTTTTGTGGTTTTGAATAAAATATTTTAATATAGATATAAAACTACAATTAAAGAAACTTATCTTTATTTTATTTAAAAATTACAAAAATGTACTGAGAAATATTACTTGAATAATGAACAATTAATATGATGAGTTAATTATTAATTTTATTGATATTCTAAATATGGAATTGATACATTACATAGACCAGAAGTTATTTATATTGTACATTAATATTTGAATTAAGTTTTATCATTGATCACTGCCGTGACAATTATAAGTGTACCAGTGAAGTGTCACTACAACACCATGTGACAAAAATTTTTCACAAAAATTACGATCATAAATGAAAAAAGGGTCATTAGTATGTTTTGTGTCACCAAAATTTAAACTTTTTCAAAATGTGTTGTACCCTGAAAAGTTTGGGAACTTCTGGTCTATGTAATGTATCAATTCCATATTTAGAATATCAATAAAATTAATAATTAACTCATCATATTAATTGTTCATTATTCAAGTAATATTTCTCAGTACATTTTTGTAATTTTCAGGGTACAACACATTTTGAAAAAGTTTAAATTTTGGTGACACAAAACATACTAATGACCCTTTTTTCATTTATGATCGTAATTTTTGTGAAAAATTTTTGTCACATGGTGTTGTAGTGACACTTCACTGGTACACTTATAATTGTCACGGCAGTGATCAATGATAAAACTTAATTCAAATATTAATGTACAATATAAATACACAGAAAATGCTGTATCGTATGTACTTATATTTATATTTTATAGATAAAATATATCTTTTCTATTATCTATATAAATATTTAAAACTTAATGCCTCCCACCAAAAATGTGATTGTGATCCACAGTATGGGAACCTCGAGGCAATGATTGTTAATTTGGCATTCCTTAATTCATGTTAGCAATTTTGTGAACATATTTTCTACTAAGTATTTTTTTTAAATTTATTTACTTGAAATTCGTGTTTAAACCAAGTTTTTATCCTGGTATGTTTATCCAATTCTTAACATTGTATTGTTAACATTTTTAGGAAAAGGGTAAAAGAAAAAAAAAATACAAAAAGAAACCACCGGCTGCTCGAAAACCACGACCTGGTCAAATACATATTGCAACTGCCTTAGATGGTACTCTTCTGTTTTGTTGTCCAGAATGTAGCATGGCTTACCCCGATAAAGAAATGCTTGAACAACATTTAGTTGCTCATAAAATAGAAAGAAGATTTATATGTGACCTGTGTGGTGCTGGGCTGAAACGAAAAGAACATCTAGAACGACATAAATTAGGTCATAATCCAGAACGTCCATTTGTTTGTAATGTGTGTTGTAAAGGTAATACAACCAGTAATATTTAAATAAATAAATACATATTTATAATGTAGTTTTGTGTTTAATATTAAAAATTCTAATAATTTAGGTTTCAAAAGAAAAGAACATTTGAATTTGCATGCTGTGATCCACTCAGGTGTAAAGACTGAAGTATGCCAGGATTGTGGTAAAGGTTTCTACCGGCGAGATCATTTAAGAAAACATACTCAAAGCCACATTACTAAACGTTTAAAAGAAGAACATGCAGCTCTTCAACAAATGGCAGAACAAGTAACAGTGTCAGATCGTCAGAAAATGTCCGTCCCGGAGCTAATCCAAAATCAAAGCCATTCAGGACCAATCATTAACTTGGCACACCAAGAAATGATAATTGATGCTGTTGCTAGTGGAAGAAACGATAGTCCTACCCCTCCAAGTGATCATCAAATTGTCATCACCAAAGGCAACCAAAAACTTACTGAACAAGAGTTGATTATACTACAGCAGCAGCAAATTCAGCAGCAGCAACAGCAACAGCAGATTCAGCAGCAACAACAACAACAACAGCAGCAGCAACAACAACAACAGCAGCAGCAACCAAATAGTCCAAATATAGCCCAACAAGAGATGATCATTGAGGCTGTAGGACAACAACATCAAAGTCCATCTCCACCACATGTGGAACACCATCAAGTAGTTATTACTAAACTAGAACCAATAGAAGATTCTAGAGGAGAAAATGAAAGTATTGTTTTGACGCAGTCTGATGCTAGAGAAGCACTTGGTTTACTACACCATCAATCTCAATGACCTATACTTTCGATTGCCAAGGTGACAATTAAACAAGAGCCACCATAATAATGCAAGTATACTATTGGTATTCTATATTAATCGTTTCCTAAAAGTCATTCGATCTAAATCAATTTTAACATAATATGATACTATTTTTAAATTCTACCAAAAAATAACTTCCATTATTTTTTTTAAAAATTATATAGAAACAGAAGTGCTCAATATTGTAGATGATAAAATTTACATGGATGACATTATTTTGTATAAACAGCAAATAATTTTGTGAGATTTTTAATACAAAAATATATTTATAATTTCTGACTAGAAAATAAATGTCAATAACAATTTTTCATTAACCTAGCCTATTGTTTATTATATATTGAAGCATAAATATTTAAAATCCTCGAATTATAATAGTATATTTAAACTCATCATAATCATAAATTAAAATATTATTATTGAATTTGTAATATCTTTTGGTTAAACGGAGGATTGTGAGGAGAAAAGACTCATTATTGCTTATCTCAAGTAAATAGGATACAACAAAAAGAAACCAATCTCTTGCTCACCCTTCTTTATTTGTTGAAGATATATGATTCACCCCATTGACAGAATTTAAATATAAAATATAGATTAATAAACTGCAATACTAAGCGCAGGATAATAGAATACATATTTTTTATTTTTTTAAATTTTAAAATATTAAGATAACTAAAAAATATTATATAAAAGCTGTATAGTCTATTTTATTTATAACGAAATTGTATATTTCTAAAATTCAATATTGTTGATGGAAATATTGTGTAAACATGTTATTTTTATTTTTTACTAAACATTTTATTGTTTGTTATATTATTATTAAAATATTTTTGTTTTTAAAGTATAATAATAATATATTTTAGTTAATTAACAAAAACTTTGAATAAATATGTAGCAAGATCTACATTTAAATTAACTATTTATAAAATAATACAATATTTTTTTTTTTTAATTTATTGGACAGTTAATGTGTATATTTCCTATTAATGCTTGATAGTTACATTTTTTTTCATGTTTTTTTTTATTATGACTTTTTTTAACCACGTTCTTTAATAGAAAAACCATAATACATTATCAATACAATTAGTTTAATTAAATAATTAATTTAAAATGTATTTCATAATGCTATAATTGACCAAAGTTTGGTATATTATATACATTTTATTACCAAATATAATTAAAAGTTAAGTATATAATTTTTTAATGAGTTGTAAATTAACGCTTTTAAAAAATATAAATACATTATCTCTTTTTTTAAGTAAGCACTGTGATACAAAAAAACTAAATTTAATTTATGTCTATGGCTTTTCTGCAATGTCTTTAAGACATCAGATATTAATTATGTGATAAGTTATAGTTTCCATACATACATGCATATGATATGTTTATGTATGTATGTAACTCATGCATATTTTTAAACAATGTACACTATGATTTTAGAAATTTAGCAATAATAATTTGATTCAAGGGTAAAATAATAAAACTTTAGTTTATTTATGTTCATATTAAGTTAAGTAATTATAATGTAATTTAAGAAATCCGTTATTTTGTATTAAGATTATTTTTTGTTTTTGTTATTTTGTCAATTAAAACGTCTAAACCAAAAAAAAAAAACAATGTAATTTACATGCTACATAATATTTTTAATGTTCTATAATTTTAAATATGAACTATGTGATAAGTTACAGTGTAAATAGAGGTGCATATCATCATCTAGATCTTAAAATGTTAAAACAAAAATGACAATATTTTTTTTACTTGATATGAATTTTTATACAGCTATTTTTGTTAGCCATATGAATGAGGACAATTTCACATATTTGATATATTTTAGTTAAAATTTCAGCAAAATTGAATGTTATTAACTAATAATTACTATCACTTTTATATTATTTATGTTAACATTTATACTTACGTGTAAGGAATGTTTTATATTGTATAAACATAAAACATTAATTTTGTTGGTTGTATGGGCTAGGTTAATTCATATTTATTTAATTCAGTTTACATTATAATTTGTCTTAATACTTTTGGTTAAACGGTTTTAAATAATACATGCATTTATTATCAATGATTAACAACATATTTTTCTTTGTTTTAGTTTTACTTATAAAAATAAATGCATGTGATTTGTGTATTTATTGATGGTTTACTTAATGTAACATGTGTTTTATTTTTATATATTCATACCAAATTTGTTTTCAAAAATATCTATAAAAAAAAATATGGTTTTATAACATTATTATTTATTACCTTACGGTTAGTACGGTAGCGATTTTGTATTTATGTCAATCTGGTTCTATATATGATTTTCAAAGATATAACATTTTAAAACTATTATGATCTGGTGTCTTAATTGTTTTTTATCAAATATTTATTAGAAGTTTACCCCAGACCCCAGTATCCATATAGATATAATATCTAAATCAAATTTTAGATTCTGAGCAGATAGATGAATGTATTGATTTTACGATGAAGTGTGTTTTTTTTATTTATAAGTGTACACAATAAGTAGTTAAAGTAATGCTTTGATTTTCAACTTCATTACCTTTTCCTATGGGAAAGTGAATCTAGTTGGTGCATTCCTGGAAGTCAACATTTGAAATTCCCAGTAGTTTTCAAAAGAGCCTTGAAAAACAAAAAAACAAATCAATTTTCTTTTTCGTGTTAGTTATAATAACAATTAGAAATATTAATATTATTTTTTTTATAAATGTTTAAAGTTCAAATTTTGACAAAGTTAGTATACCTAGTCGAAATATTGCTTTGATTTTCAACTTCAGTATCTCGTTCGATGATAAGTGAATACTGTTAGTGCATTGCCTAGGGAGGATGAGGGAGAACATTTTAAACTCCCAATAGTTATCACTTATCACAAGCTCCGGGAAAAACAACATAAAAATTAAGGAAAAACGGGAATTTTTACTCGAAATCGATTTTGGTTTTTGGTATAACTCTAAAACAAATGACCAGAGATACATGCAATTTTGACTGAATGTTTATATTAGCATTTTCACCATAAGATATTCAAAATATTTTCAGCTGTTGACGGCCATTTCGGTTTTTATTTTAAAAATATCAATACAATTTTATTTATTGGGTAAAACAGCTTGACAATTTAATAGAAGGCTTCTTATATTGTTTCAAATACAAATTAAATTAAGTTTTTATGAAAGTTTGAAGTTCATTTTATTACAACATTGGATATTCACTCGATTTCTCATGTAACGATTTACTTATTTTGTTGTAATTAAAAACGAACAACTGTAGATACATCAAAATTTCACTGAATGTTTATTTTATCAATTTAATACAAGGCTCCTGATATACAGTGTGATCACGATAAGTGGAAAAACTCAATAACTATGTGCAGGCTTCATATATTTCAATTCTGCTTTATTGGCTAACTAATAAACATTATTATACACATTTTCAAATAATTAGACTATCTTTGTGACACTTAATTTTGCACATGCGCACAATAATTTTTTTTTTTTTAGTTTTACGACCTATCAACAAATTATTTTTCTTTGTATTTTTTAATGAATTTTAGTGGTCGAATTTCTTTTCTAAGTTAAAATGGCCGAGTAATAGTAATCTGATTTTATATTATTTGCATGGGTATAAGATTATAAAATACGTAATAATAAATACCTACTCAATAATAAAAATAAGCCTGTACATAGTTATTGAGTGTTTCCACTTATCGTGATCAAACTGCATTGTTACAATAGCAGTTGAAAAATATTTAAAATACATAGGCAGGATTTTTTTTTATAAGCATTAAAAGTGATTTTTGACAAAATTGAATAATTATTTTGTAGTTGAAAAATTTATAAAATATTAATTTATATAGTTTAGGATTGAAAATGTAAAACAAGGTTCTACGTAAATAGCTAAAATATTTTAAGTATTGTAGATATAAATTACTATGTATATTTAAAATAATATTATCAAATACCTATACTTAGTAATAATGATATCATAATAGACTGTCTTCGCTCGAAATCATTTTTCTTATATAATTATTTAAATTAAGCCTGGACAAGTTAACTATTTTTTTTTTAACTTGTTAAGTTAATTTAATATAGAAAAATGTAAGTTTTTATTAACTTGTAAGAGTTACAAGTTAATTAGAAAATAAAAGTAACTTACCTTAGTTAAAAATAAGTTACTTTTTTTTTTTTTAAATAAAATTAATAATCATACCTACCTACCTTTTTTAAAGCTAACATAAAATATAATAATAATTAGGTGTAAGTTAGGTTATATGTAGTGTATGTGATAGGTACTGAGTAAATTGTTATATTTTTCTTTTATTAACGACGCGGTTACCCCTAATAAAAATAAATTGAATGGTAAAATTTTAAAGGAAAATTTATCACTTATTTTCAACTTTTCATTAAACGTTCAAGTAGTAAAACCCAAAGGAATTCGACAAACTAGTCTATGATTAGCTCAGGGAAACATTTTTGGCAACACGGCATTTATAAAGTGCCTTTATTCCAAAAGCTTTATAAAATAAAGATACTTTTTAACAACATTTTTCGCAGACATCGGTTTGGTAAAATAAGTATTTTTTATTTTTTTTTTTATTTAAAAAATATACTGTGTCATAGCATAGATGTCATATATATCAGTCGTATGCTATCTACCAAATCAATCATATATACAAATCTACAAATCTTTCGCATACACTTAATCCACTATTATTTTTCCATTGTTATTTGTTGTCGATGTAAGTAAAAAATGGATTTTCTTTACGAATGGATTGCCATGTTTGACAACCCTTTTTTTTAAATTGTAAATATTTTGTTATAATAATATCTCCGTTTACATCACGTTTCCTGCTTTTTTTTAAAGTTTCCTTCATTTCACCATTACATTGTTCTCCAATAGAATTTAATTTTGTATAAAGTTTTGTATTAGGTAATAAATCACGATCTTTTAAAAATTGTTTACAAGTTTCGTCATTAAAAATAATTTTTCTATATTATTCACCCAAAGTACTCATTTTATAAAACCATAAATTTACAATTAATAAAAAACACACAACTACAAGTTACAACGTTTGATCTCGGCGATCAACGAACATACATACTAAATTCTAAAATACAAAATAACTTTGAAATTCCTAAAGGAATTATAAATAAATATAATATATAGAAATATACGTCAATACGAATTACGGTAGATAACGTAGATACGGTAGATAGCATACGACACCGTCAATTTGTTGGTAGATAGCATACGACACGTGTGCCGTATGTCATATGCCTAACAATTAACTGTAAAAAATATTGGTCTCATTTGAAAAAAATAAATGTTTACCGCCACGGGACACTTCTTAAATGGTATAGAAATCTATACAATTTAAAATAATATGGTCTATCAACTATGAGCATATTTAAAATTATAATTTGAAAACATTTATTATTAAAGGAAAAAAGGTGCTCTGCTGTACAGTAGGTTACAAGTGGTCACTGTATAATGGATGGCATTAAATTTGAATTCAATGATATAATATCATCAGGGTTCGGGACTTATAGCATTTGCATATCCATCATAGGTGATGTAAAACATAGCAGAGTGATCTACAAATACGTTTTGTAGTACAGAGAATTAAAATATGAAATTTTATTTTGCATATTTTTGCATATTTTGGGGGTTTTTGCATATTTTAAAGGTTTTTGCATATTTTTTGCTTATTCGACGATTTTTGATGATTGATGGTTAATATAATTGTTCAAAATGTATTAATTAAAATGTTGAACGATTAATTGCGAAAATTTGTTTTGTAGTAATACTATTTGTGTAGCTATCTGTCACAAAAATGTAGTACGTGCACTTGATTTATAAATACCTACTCAACAAATCGAAAACCATGTAGTTATCTGAGTTATGGTTTAACAAACAAATATGTAAAATTATCACCGGAGGAGAGTCTATGGATCTTCGTTCAATAGCAGAAGATCTAACATGTAATGATCTGTTATTTTTCAAGTATGCTCCCATTACTTCCGTCGGACTTGGAACGTTCATTTTCGGCATATAAGTGTATTCTAGCCGATAATAGAAGAGCCTTCCAGTTCGAAAATGTTCGAAAACATCTAATAGTTCATGCAATCACAAAGGCACTAAGATTTAAATTACAAATTTTTTTATTTTTTTAAATATAAAAAAATTAATATATTATATATACCTATTTATTAATACATATTATATCAAATAAATCTTTTTTGTTAATGATTTTTAATTTTTTTTTAAATTTTTTAGTGCATATTATTTTCATTTTTAGTGCATATTTTTAAGTTTATTGGGTCATATATAAGCGCATATTTTAGTGCTTTTTAGTGCTATAAGTCCCGAACCCTGAATATCATTGTATAAGAAAAACGATTCTGAGCGGAGACGGTATGTCAGTCTAGGTAAAGACATATTTTATACTTTTTTATTTATATAAATTAAACTATTTTATTGATATTTATAGAAAAAAAAACTAAAAAAAATGAAAACTGTAAATGTCCAAAAACAGCTCAAAAAGAGTCAAAATGTTTTCAAAATTGGTGTATAGGAAATGCTAATATAAACATTCAGTGAAATTTTCATGTATCTACAGTTATTCGTTTTTGAATTACAACAAAATAAGGAAATCGCTATGATCCAATGTTGTAAAAATTTGAATTTCAAACGCTCATAAAAATTTAATTTGACTTTCTTATTGACATTTTTGTTTTTTGATAAAGGTAGATAATCTTATAAGGAATCTTGTATTAAATTTTAAAATCTTAGATTTAAAAGTTTTATGAATTCTTAACTCAAAATAATTTGCTAATTTTCTTGATTTTTCCATATTTTGTCAATTTTTGAACTTTAAATGCTTATAAAAAAAAACTGTGACTAAGGATTTTTAATATTTTTCATCTGCCTTTGAAAAAATATACTAGGAGCCTTCTATTAAATTTTCAAGCTTTTTTAACCAACAAATAAAATTTTATTGATATTTTTAGAAAAAAAATGAAAATGTCCCTCCTAAACAGTTCAAAATAAATCAAAATATTTTTAAAATGTTATCGTGTATAGAAAATGCAAATATATATCCAATCAGTGAATATTGCATGTATCTACGGTAATTTGTTTTAAAGTTACACCAAAAACCAAATTCAATTTCGTGTAAAAATCAATTTTGCATAAAAATTCCCGTTTTTCCTTAATTTTTCGTTTGTTTTTCTTGGCGCTTTTGAAAATCATTGTAAAATCAATACATTTGTTGTTCCACTCAGAATCTAAAATTAGGGTGAGCATGCTGGTAAATCCCTCTGTATATTCTCGTATTTAATTAACTGGCTCAATTTGAATTGAAATGTATTCCAGACATACGACCTAGTAAGCGTATAAAATCTCGTATCCAATTAAATGGTGAGCTAGTATTAAACTATAATTTATTTGTCTTTAATCCCGAGTTGTTTTCTGTGTAACGAATCAATTATAACTTAATATAACTTTCGTACCTACTATTCAGATATCTTCGAAAAATCTCATGAATTCGAACAAGGGACGTGCTAGCTGTTACGCCGCAGGTCGACTGAGAAAAGTCTATTTTTCCTTGCCAAACATTGTGTTGACGACACCCGAAACGGCAAACCGAGTGCCGTCTGCCACGAGTAGTCCTGCAGATGATGGAGTTGAAAACCCTGACCGGACTATGGAATGTAGCGATTCCGGTCACCGATGTGCAGAAACTGCAGGAGTGCAGGACTCAGATGCCTCAATAATGCACCAGGTGGTGACCACGAACGCTGTCGTCAAACCTATAAGAGCCGATCATTTTTGAAACGTACTAAGAAATTCTTCAGGCGCTTATTGTGCTGCACGTATGTCGTATAGTCCCGAGCAATAATTGCTGTTGTGCCATTGCAGATGCTGCTATATAGAATATACCGCGGTCTATAAGTACAATCTATAACAATAATTTTTTTAATTATCTCGATATGCTCTGTCGAAGATGTATGATATGTATAAATTGTATAAAATGTATGAAATAATTTCGAAGTAAAATGTATGATATATATACATTTTATAAACTGTTTAAAATGTATAGCATGTATAAAATAATTGTAGTTAAATAAATATCTCAAAAAGAGTCAAATATATTGAAAATTTTATCATGTATAGAAAATGATCATATCAAATTTTAGTGGTAAATCATTACTTTATTCGTTTTTGAGTTACACTAAAAAAAAAAAAAAACGATTTTGTGGAAAACTGGTTTTGTAAAAATTCCCGTTTTTTCTTAATTTTTGAAATTACTGAGAATTTCACTTTTAACCTCCCAAACCCAAAGTACCAACTAGAATCACTTGACGACAAGCTGAAGCTGAAATTCAAAGCATTTGTTCTTACCTAAATAGTAAAGACAAACACATAAAAGTCCACATATTATCATTATAAAACCAATACATCAGTGGTGGATACGAGGGGGGGAGTGAAGGGGCGTTCGTCCCCCCCCTTGGGTTTTTTTAACATTATTTTCTATTATAATATTTAGCTAAACAAAAACACAATTTAATTTTTGAAAATTCGCTCCCCCCCCCTTGGGTGACTTCTGGATCCGCTACTGCTGTCACCGCTCCGCTCAAAATCTATATTACACTGCAGGGTGCAGGGTACACAAGTCTGAAAATTCATTTTATGGATTAGAAACAAATCGCATGCATCCATATAGTTAGTTAATATATTGAGTAGGTAGGTAGGTACTTAACTACTTCAGACTTCATAATAAAAATGTGCTACCTACGACATATTATTTGAAAAAATAATGTGAAAATAATCCTGTTATCATAGTTAATGAAATAATATTATTGGGTTATTTAATGTACATATTTATTAATATTACTGGGTATAAATAGGTACCGTTGTTTGGGATTACTTTGCTCCGATTTTTCAAATTGTTTTAGTATTTTATAGTGTATTTTATTTAAAAAAATATATTGTATTTATATAGTTCGATTCTTTAGAGTTCCTAAGAGCTAGTTATGACCTAAAAATGAGTACCTATATCCTAAATACACAATTTTTTTTTTATTTTTTCAAAAGTGGAGCAATATTACTCGTGGGGTATACCTACATACTTTGCCACACTTCATGAAAGGGCCAAGAAATCGTATAATTTAGTGACTGGAGCAATGTTAACTGTTGTAAAAAGAAACAGCACCATTAAAAACAAAGAATAAAACTTTGAAATTTTTTTTCTGCCCAAACATAGTACTGTGGATAGGTCAAAAAAAATAATAACAGACAAAAAATGTATTAATTTTAATTTTTTCTTGTACATTGAAGTCATTTTTATCTATGAAAAATAAAGACTATAGGAAGGATTACCTATTATTGAGAAAAACCAACTATATTATCTAATCTAGGATGGAAATAATCATTGATGAGGAAACCTTGCGCCAAAATACTATGGTAAAATACTTGAGCAATTTTACCCCTTTTAGTGGTCCAAAGTTACCCTAATCATGAAATTTGCTTTTAAATTATTCAAAAACTGTCTAAACTCAAATTTTGATACAGCATCGGTTTTGTGATAAATTTCTGACTTGAAAGAGTGATATCTTGCTTTCAAAATCCACGTGCTCTCCGTTTCAAAAAGAAAAGTTTGAGAGCTTAATTTTCCCGCTTTTAATGGCGTCACAAATGATAACGCACTAATAACATGAGAAAAATGCCTTCATTTATGGAGGTAAGATATGAAATAGCTTTGACAGTTTTTCCACCAACGCACGAACAAACATTTAATTATCACAATTTCCAAAGTCAAAAAGTGTCACCAAAGTTTTATTTTTTTTTGAGTAAAGTTAGTTAATTTGAAGGGAGCAAATTAACCCCAAACGACGGTATAACTTAAACATATATATGTATGTAAAAAAAATCGTGTATGGTACTAAATATGACTTTTAAAAAATTAACTTATGATAAATAAATAATAGTTTTAACTTCATACGTTAAACGTGTTATTTCACAAAGTGAAAAATATTACATAATGTATTGATGTCAAATTGGAGTGGTCATTTCGAATCACGGAAAAAAAAAACCAAGGAAATTAAAATCAAGGAAAAAAACCAAAAAAAAAAAACCATGAAATAAAAACCAAATTTTTATATTTTGCCATACATTATTATGTCATATTTCATTAGACATAAGTTTTAATTTTCTAATTAAAAATGTAGATCATAAATTCAACTGCCCAAGTGTTAGGTTAGGTTAGCCGTTAGGTACTTTATAGGTACCATCTTGGTATTCGTAGTATAAACGATCGCGGCGAAATGACCGAGTCCGGTAGTGTGAACCCAGCTTTATATGTGCAATATTTTTTTTTACAATAAGATAAAAAAATTAAACGCTGAGAAAGAAATTATTGAAATATTGTATTCATTTCTATTTTACTTAAGTATACACTATACAGTATACTTATTTTATAAAAACCTATAATGTGATTATTTAATATTGGTTTTCTTAGAGTTTTAAGAAATAACCAATAAATGAAAATATGAAATATTGGAAAGAATGAGAGTTTAGCTTGAAATTGATTTTCATGAATTATTTTCTTCAAAATGTGTTTTCCACGCTTAATGATGATACTAAGTTGGTCAAATTTTCTGTAGAAGTTATAAGATTAAAAAACTTCAAAATCTTATTAGGTAGCTATTATAATTTCAAAAATAATATTTTTGATTTTTTTTTTTTTAAATAAATGAGTTTTTTCTTTATAATTTTGGTAAATCAAGTGTATAATCTCGTGTATAACTTTGAAACTAACTCCGAACGACAAATTCTTTTTGCATCACTGATCTTATAGCTTATTGAAAAACAAGGGTTTTCAAAAAAAAAATTTCAAAATCTAACCACATTTATGAGACATAAATTATGACCTTACATTTGAAGAAATAACTTTTTGGGGGTAGGAAAAATTTGTTATCCAATATGTTCAAATACGGCCCTGGACTCACTTGTAAGTTGTAACCTACTGTACAGCAGAGCGACACCAACTTGCCCACCTTTTTTATTTTATATTTGATTTTTTAACTTGTGCAATAGATCTTGTAACATAAACCAATATGAAAATATTTATATGTATACCTATGTATATAATATATACAGTGTGTCCCGTTTTAAACGTACCACTAAATATCTCAGCCCGATAATCTTAGATTGAAATACTGTTTGCTGCAATAGCTCAGGGGTACTGAAGTACACATTTAAGGACAAATTTCAAATTTTTAACTCTTGTAATATGCGCATGCGCAATACAATTTTTTTTTTAAATTGCAACACCTATTTTTGTAACCGTATATGGATAGATTATTTTATTCTAAGTAATTTTGATCCATTGACCATAGTTCTAAACCTAAAACTGAATGAGTTACAGCTTTTTGAAATTTTAAAATAATTACATTTTTTCGATTTTACCAAAAACATTACAAGCTTGAATTGAGTGATTTTTTCATAGATTTTAATTAAGAATGTGAAGTAGGAAATTAAATAAAAATTACTCCATTACATTGTTTTGACTTATGTTTATTTTTTTTATCTAATAAAATGTTCAAAATTTCCTCCGTTTTTTTCTAAACACAATTCCAGTCGACAACTCACTTCTCTATAGGTTGCTACCAAAATTTGTTCTTTTGTTAATTGTCTGCACGCTACCGTTATTTTATTTTTTAAATCTTGTAAGTTTGCTGGTGGATCTGCATAATAAACAGTCTTTAAATGGCCCCATAAAAAAAAGTCTCATGGTGTTAGATCAGGTGACCGTGGGGGCCATTCCAGTAGCCCGTGAGTTCCCATCCATCGATTTCCAAATATTTCATTTAATTGTTGTCTTACATTAATGGCATTATGAGCGGGTGCTCCATCCTGTTGAAAAAATAAGTTTTGACGAAGTAATAAAGGTACATCTCCCAACATCATCGGTAGCAAAGTTAAGAAATCTGAATAACGTCTACCATTAAGAGTACCGTCATAAAAATGTGGACCTATTAAATTTCCTCCTAATAATCCGCACCACACATTTGTGCCCCATACTGTTTGATAATTTGTATCAACTGCCCAATGTGGATTTCCGTTTGACCAACAACGGTTATTCTGCTTATTTAAAACACCATTATTGGTAAACTTTGATTCATCGGTCCACAAAACGTAATTTAAAAATAATGGGTCGTTATTTGTACATGTTGTTATCCATGCTGCAATAAATGTTAATCTACGTTCGTTATCACCTTGGCATAAATGCTGAACTAGATCAGCCCTATAAGGATGTAACTTGTATTTTTTGAATATTTTGTGTAACTTTGTTTTTGAAAATCCAAATTATCTAGCAACATGTCTTAAGATGAGTGAGGATTTAATTGAACGTACGCAATTACTTCATTTTCCTGATCATCATTTGGTTCCATATTGCGTAGTGGTTGTCTCTGCGCATCTCTTATCGAAAAAGTCCCGTAAGTTCGTAAATATTATTAACTAATCTTAAAAAAAAATTATGCGGTGGATGATATCTTTCGGGATATCGATTTGCATAAACCCTTGCAGCCTCCCGACAATGTTTATTACACTCACCATAAATTAAAATTATATCCACTTTTTCACTATTGTTTAACATTTTAAAGAAGAAAAAAAGAAAAATCTTTCAAAGTATTATGTTAATAAAAGTTATAAGTGTCATCGATGAACGTACAATAATGAGTGAACGTGCATTAGTTCATTTTTGTTAATCAAACAATATCTACAATAATTATCGAAGTACTAAGAATAAAATTAGAAATAAATAATAAT